AAATAAAAAAAAAATAAAAATAAAACACTGTGCTGGCATAAAAATAAACATATAGATAAATGGGATAGAAATGAGAGTCCAGAAATAAGCCATAGTTATATTATATATATATTTTTAATGTATTTGATACAGGGTCTCACTATGCAGCCTGACCTCATAGTGATCTTCCTGTTTTCACCCTCCCCAGCTGGGATTACAGGTGTGCACCACCATGCCCAGTCTCAGTGGCCGGGGGCAGGGCTAGAGCCGCATATGGTTCCAGGGATTGAACCCTGGTCCCTGTGCTTGCTTAAGCAGGTGCTTAGGCCACTGAGCTATCTTGCTGGCCTCATATTTATACTATTGATTTTTGTTTTTTTAAAGTAGTTTAGTTTGTATTATTTATTTATTTTAAAGTATTAATACAGGGTCTACAGGGTCTCACTACACAGATCAGATTCATAGTGCTCCACCTGTTTTCAGCCTTCCAAGTGCTGGGATTGCAGGCCTGTACCACCACGCCCAGTCTCATTCACCGTCAGTGCACCCCAGGGGCGGGGCCAGCAAGGCACACCAGGGATTGAACCCTGGTCCCTGCATCTGCCTGAGCAGGCACTTTAATCCACTGAGTTATCTGGCTGGCTGTTATTACTGATTTTTGGACAGAGGTTCTGAAGCAATTCAGGAGAGAAAGGAAATCTTTTCAACAAATAGATCCAGTATGTAACTATAGAAAAAAGATCAACATCCTTATATCACATATATAAATTAATTCAAGACAGGTTCCAGACCTAAATAAAAAAAATTGAAATGAAAAGCTTCCAAATATACTAGTGTCTTGGATAACAGTTTCTTACAGAAAATTACAAAAATACAATTATATCTAGAATATGTTAAAACTCCTTCACTTCAATAATCATCAGTAAAGTTTTAAAAAGTCAGCAATAGTCTTGAGCAGCCATGTTACAAAGGAAGGTATAGGAAGGGCCTGTAAGTCACGTGGAGAAATACTCATCGTTGGTCATTGAGAAAGTATAATTAAAGCAATCATGATTCATCTCACCCCGCCTAAAATGACTAACATTTCAAAGTAAAATGGGTAAATGTCAGCAAGGAAGTCAACTCACAGGCCCCCTGGCTAAGTGAAATGTGCAGCCCCTTCAGAGAACAACTTGGTAGTTTATCTTCCAACTTAAAGCATAGGTTCAGCCTGTGATCCTGGACAATTTACACAGGGGAGGGGAAATGAAAAATTTCTCTGTGTATGAGACAGTTTAAAGTAGCTTAATATCCAAAAGAAAAAAATATTTACCAATAGGTACATGGGTAAGCAAGGTATATATATATATATATATATATATATATATATATATATAATATTTTACTACATATATTACAGTACTTTTCAGCAATAAAACAGTGAATTATAGATGTATGTAATATCACAGAGTAGAAAGCAGCTACACAGAAGAGTGCATATTATATCATTTCACCTATTTCCTTCTTAAGAAATCAAAACAAGGGCAGCCCAATGGGGTGGTGATTGACAGGAAGGTATTATGGAAAAATTCTGGGGTAATAAAAATAATCTTTATATCAGCTGGAATGTTGTTCCACTTGTTAAAAGTTGGGATTCAGGATCAGTACATTTCTATGCATATAGGTTATACTATAATAAATAAAGAATATGACCCATAAATATTCTTCTGAAGGTTGTTTAACACTGGATTAACTAAAGATGGATCATGAGCCAAAGTTTTGAGATCATAAAAGTTTCTACCACAAAGTTTCAAAAGAAAATGTATTACTGGGCTATGACCTTAGATGACCAGAGGACACTTAGGGATATATTTCTTAAAAGGATAAAAATTTTACTTAAGAAAATGCGTGAAAGATAAGGTTTATAAAAGACTCAGAATGTGCCTCCTATTCTTCCAATCAAATTTCAACTATTTTTCAATTTTTAAACACATGAAAAATTATACAGCTAAATATATTGAAAACACTCATGGATCCTGCCAACTAGTGGATGGTGAGAAATTATAAGGGGAAGTGTTGATGGAGACTGAGGAGAGGAAATAGAAATGGGGCCGGTGTGTAGGGTTTTGTTGTTTGTCCATAATGCAAAGTTGCTGTGTTTCTCAGCTGTATCCAAGGTGAACTCCAAGCTCATTACATGTTTATTTCTTCAGGAAAAGGAGAATCTTTGTAATCTGGAAAAGAAATACTCCAGCCTCTCAGGGGGGAAAGGGTTTCCTATTAACCCTAATACTTTAAAGGAGGTAAGCCATGATCTTTTGCATGTGTCCTTAGCCCTATGGACCTGTGCTTTTTTAGTTGAATAGTAAAGATAAGCTTAAATGGTTCCTGAAGGCACTCCATGTTTTGATGGTTTTCTTAACTTTCATTATTGTATGCTTTGAGGATTTCAGGAAGTATCTTTGTGTCTAGTGTGTGTGTGTGTGTGTGTGTGTGTGTGTGTGTTTCTGGCAGAGCCTAAGGTATCTTGGAGTTTCAAAAACATGTAGAATCTTCCAGCATGTAGACCAAGATAAGCTTACATTTTCTACTTTCCTTTTTGCAATGTCCTTTGTCACTCCTCCTCTTTTACTCTTTTCTCCTGAGTCTTAAGGAACAGGATCATGCCCTCAAATATTTGAGAAAATAATCTAATTTGTTTCTTCTGTTTATCTTCCAAATGTTATTTCTGGAACTCTCTTCTCTAGTTGGAAACTCCTGTTTACATTCAGCTTTACATACTCTATCCAACCTTGTCTGGTCCCTAATACCACTCTTTTTGAAATACTACTTGATAGATTAGATGTGATGTTTAAGTAAATACAGGAAAGCGTCCTGAATGGTACCATTATTCCACTTCAAATAATGAGGCTGACAGTATCTTTTACTGAGACAGAGAAAAGAGTAAGCTTAGAAAGGAACATTTGGATTTTGACAATGGGTATCCAGAGTTTGAAGGGCTTGTGGCACCAAAATGAACTGGATGGTCTCTAAGGTCTCTTCATCCTTCATTTCCTGATGGAAAAATAAAATCTTTCACTTTCTGTTAATGAGTTAGTCTCATTTTCCTTAAGGCTTTTAGCGTCAGAAACACACTTGGCTTATTGACCACTGCATAGTTGCATGGTTTGTGCTGTTCCAGTAGCTGCCTTGTCTTTTTCATGTACAAAAGACATTATTCATAAAACGCTTTTGATTTTTGCTTCCATCTTTGCTTTCACTTCTATTCTTTCTCTCTCTGTTTTGAAGAGCGTTGAATTTATAGCCATATTCTTTAAAGAACTCCCACTTTTGACAGATAGCATACACATTAGAAACAACTGAGTGGGATGATCTGTAACCATGTACAGACCTCAGTCCCTAGCTTTGAGACATTCTATCAGTAGAACAAAAGAATAATTCAAAGTTGCTAATTTTCTTTCTGATTCACATATAAGATGGAATTTTGACAATCTAGTTAATTATTTCCTTTCTTTAGTTTCAACTTTATAAACCTAACGTACTGTCTGCAGCCCTTTTGGAAGTTCATGACTGATATGCACAGTTGATAAGCAGTCAGCTTTAAGCTTCCTTCGCTTTGTCATAAAAGTTCTCAACAGAAATTGATTTCCAACCTAGAGGTTTTCCTTCAGCAACACCACATCACAGTGTCTTGTCTTTTCCAGGGTCACTTTTTGAAGACATTAATGAGCAAATTAAAGAACTCAATTGTCAAATTTAACTCCATTTCACTTTTAAAAGAGAGGCTTATTTCATGTACTTTATTCTTTTTCACATTGCTTTATTAGTAGGTGGGCAAATCATGACTGATCTGCATAAATTTTTTGCATGAAAATGTAAAAATACCTTTTCCACAAATATATTTGGTTCTCAAAGATTTTCATTCATGGGTATTTTCTCCTAGCTGAATCCAGAACTGAAATTCTCTGTCCTGGGGGCTGAATTGGAGGGTGGGGAAAATGCCTTGAATTGAAATACCAATAGTGCGCGTGTGTGTGTGTGTGTGTGTGTGTGTGCACGTGTGCTTGCCTGAGTGAGAAGACAGAGTGCTTTTTTATTTTTTCTCAATTGACATGCCCCAAAGCTAAATTCCATTAGAAATAAATTAGAGTTTTATAAATGTTTTCTTAATGGAAAATACAGTATCTTTCAGCCCACTTCCACTTACACATTAATTCATCAAGAAACAAAAGATGGGACAATCTTAGAGCAATGATTTGTGGAAAAGGTTCTTAAATTGGGGAGTGAGTGATTGCACTGTCAGTTTTGTCTTGGAGATTTTTTGACAAGTGATTCTTTTTGAAGTATATATAGTGACAACCTCATTTCATCCAAAGAATGAACGCTGATTTACCTCTGGATATTTTAAAATTGAAGGCATAACGTTTATAATAAAATCATCTTGATTTCACTAGAAGAATCATGTATGTTTAGAAAGCCATTTTTCAAAATTAAGCATCATAAATAAATCCATTTTAATTGCTGATTATTCTCCTAATGAAACATTTGATAATACCAAGATATCTTGCTGTGGCGCTCTCAGCTAACTCCATTGTACTGAGAACATTAATACTCTCGCATGCCTCTGCTTTTGCTTTCTTTGTGTCTAACTTCTGAATTCCTCCTTTTAGGGCTATCTCAGTGTAAATGAATTTAATGAGCCACCTGGCCATTCCACGAATCTCTCCCCTTCCACTCAGTTCCCTGCTGATGCTGATGCTGCTGTCACTGAGCCTGCCTCAGCTGTGCCGGTGAGCCAGCCGCAGAGTCCAGAGGTGTGTGGCCACAACATTCCATTCATTCACTGCTGTTGCTCATGTCAGAATTAACCCATGGTTAGCGGATGACTGGTGAAATGAAAATGTACGTGACCCACAGATGTTGGTTTGGCCAGAGTGTCAAAGATTATAAATGATGCCAGGTTTATAGAACAGAACAAGTTGGGGGTTCTGGTCCATCACTTAAAATGTTAGAAACTATGCCATAGATGTTACAAAGGGCAGGATGAGGACAAGTAATGTGAGATAGGTAAGCTCAACACCCTACCATTTTAACCTGACCTAGTTTTCTTACAAACTCAAAAACCTGTCTAAAATTTTTGATTTGAATCACCTTGCCAGTTTGAGTTTTGCATTGTTTTGTTTTATAATCTAGTTTCTTTTAACAATAAGCATTTTTTAATAATAAAAATACTGTTGAGAGTAGCCAATAACAGTATGTTAAATACTTTGCAGTGATCTAAGTTGATTGCAGCGTGGGATTTTAACAAGAGATTACATTGAAAGATATTGTTCGTCATTTGTAACTTTCTAACATACAACGAACAGAAGGAACAGATTATTGATTTCATTTTTCTTATCCTTTCATTTCATATGGACACACATATACCTTTTCTTTCTCCTGTAAAGCAAAGATCTCCTGTCTGTTCTGGATTTATGTTTCCCTCCACCCTTTCTCTTCATCCTGTCACTCAACCTCCATCAGCCCCTTCGCGGGAAGTCATGGCTACATCTGTCAATTTTTCCCCTCTAAATGATACACCTCCTCCTCTACCAGCTAAGAAACACAGGAGGCAGCAGCAGCAGGAGCAACAGGTAATTAAGGAGTGTATGAGTTTTATTTTACATTGGTAACAAAATCACTTCTTTTTTAAAATTTTATATAATTGATACAGAATCTCACTATGCAGCTCGGACTCATAGTGATCCTCCTGCTTCAGCCTCCCTCGTGCTGGGATTATAGGCAATTGCCACCGCGCCCAGTCTCAAGGAAGGCTCAGCACACCCAGGGTGGGGCCGGCACAGCATGCAGTGCCAGGAACAAAACCCTGCACTAGCCAGGCAGGCGCTTAGTCCTCTGAGCTATCTTCCTGGCCCAACAAAAGTGCTTCTATAATCTATTCTTCAATTTTTTCAGAGGTGACTTTTTAAAAAGACAAATTGCATGCTCCTTTTGTTGTTGTTTTGTTTTCTTTAAGGGTATTTCCTATGTTCCGAAGGTAGTTGGGATTGTTAAAAAGTTTCTAGAGGTTAATTATCCTCAACTGGCTTTTTGTATGTTTAAGCAAATCTCAAATCTTCATCAACACAAAAATATTTTTATTGTAGATTACAAAAGCCGTAATAACTAAAATTCCCTTGAGTATGTGTCAAAATTTGCCAAGTAAATATTTCTTTTCTTCCTTCTAATAATCCCGTGAAAAAATTATCTCATCTAGAAGTGTAAGGAATTGAGGCTAAGTCTAGTTAAGTCGTTTGTCCCAGGTTACATCATGTGTAGCACATTGTCTAGAACAGCAATTTTCATTGACCAAAGTTTTAAATAATTTATTATTCCAATCCATTCTTTTTAACACACATGTTGGTGCTTAGATATTCAAAAAAACTATTTTGAAACTAATAGTTTTAAAACTATTTCAACTTTTATGCTCACTAGCTCCTCAAAGAACTCAAGTGCTGTTTTTTAATACCAATGTTCCTTCTCATTTCTTCAGCATACCTGTAATATTAGTGTTTGTTGAAAGATTGCAGCTCATCACTCTCTTCAGGTATAGCTACCTGGACTGATATAAAAATGAATTGCTAGGAATAGTAGATCCAATAAGTGATGTCTACAAGGGGGTAGCTAGGAGAATGGCAGGACCAAACACTTCACTTCGCTGTTTCTCTGAATGACAGCTTTATTGAGGGCAAGGGACATCTTTGGACTAATAGAGGAGCCCTCTGTTTTCTGCTAAAATCACATAAGTCGTTTTCAATGAGGTTTCTTTCTTATTTTATTAAGCTACTACTATTGTGCAATATTGGGAAGGTTTGATTTCAGAACTTGTGACAATTGGTAATAGTAAGAATAAGAATGCCATATTCTGATGCCATTTTTCCATCAAAATGGCAATTAATTGACCAAATTGTGAAGTTTTTATTGTAATATGGACTGCCTTGCCATGAATACCAGCTCTGTCATGTTCTAGTTGCATGACTCTGGGCAAGTTTATTTAACCTCTCTTCAACCCAGATTCTTCATTTGTAAAATAATGATATAATACTAACTGAACAGGTTAATTATAACACTGAGTGAGGTAATATAGAGCATCACCTGAAATTTAGTAATTTTTTAATAAGTATTAGTATAAGTAGATCATTGTAAAGTAACAAAGGAGATATTTGTCCTATTGGCATACATTAATTTTTATGTATTTCAGAATGTTGATCTTGGTATTAACATGATCAAACCTAAAGAACATTTAGTCAGGAAATCATGTTGCTATTGAAGACATTTCAAACTGACAAAGATCTTGCCTTAGAAATCTGAAAAAAAAAAAATGTAAATATGAGCTATTTTTGTAAAATCTCTTCGATCAAGACCTTTTCATATTCAAAGGTAACCTAGAAGGATCTCTTTAAAGGGAAACTTCATGTGGATGCAGACTGTTTATGTGATGAAATAGTATTACCATTTCTAGACGACTTCCTGTTTATTTGTTCTTCCCTTCATCCTCTTCCTTCTCTCTTTCTTGTCCACCTCACACTGGGATCTGTGTCACACACAGAGCTGTTGAGACAGATTAGGGTAAACTTGCCCTGGCCACTGGCTGTTCTGCCATCTATATGACAACCATTACAATAATTTGTAGGTCATCCTGAGGCCCCAGGGCAGCAAGCACTGCAGAAGTGAAAGATGAATTTTTTTAAATGTTGTAGGCTCAGAAATACATTCTCCTGGTGTCTAGAAACATTAAATGATAATCTGAACAAAAGGATAAATTGAATATTTTTTTTAAATTTTTGAAACTTCTTTGTAAGTGCGTAATTCTTCATTCCTTCAGTGATCTGTTTCAGTTAGTCAAGTTTTGCTGTTTTGCTTTACATTTGCATTTAAAGCACTTTAGAAGTCTGGAAGAAAGGAAAAAACAGCATAAAGAAGGCCTCTATCTGAGTGACACTTTGCCTCGAAAGAAAACCACACCTTCCATCTCCCCACATTTCAGCAGTGCTACAGTGGGGAGAAGCACCACCCCAAAGGTAGGACTCGGAAGAGCCACAGAACTCACTTTCTGGGAGTCTTTCCCTCATGTTCCCCAACGTGCAGAAGCCTGCCAGAGAAAACACTGATTTGGAAGCCATTGCATTTGCTTGTTTGGCAGCCAGCATCAAGCTGCCTCTTCTATTCAGAGAACATTTGGAATTGTCTGTTCCTGGGCCAAAGGTATTTTCTAACACCATGATAAAAGGCAGCGAATGACCTTCACTAACATGATAGACTCCCAGGGCTGTGTCCCATATTTAGAAATAAGATAGGATATAGATGCAGGGTTCCAAGAATACCAGGACCAAGTATTGGTCACCTGTACATACCTGAAATGGGTTGGCACTGTGTCTGAATTGCCTGCCACCTTTTAAAATCCAGCAATACCATGCAGCAGAATTTCCTACTTACTACTGCCCTGATTGTACATATGGACAAAGTAAGGTGTAATGGAACTAAATGACTGGCTCAGGAGCCCAAAACTGGTATGGGGGCAGCCAGCATGTGAGCCCCTGCCGTCCAACACCTATACCTCCGTGTGCTAGGGCTCATTGTAGAAACATAGGAAGAGGAAAGAGAGGGATTCTTTGTTGGACAGACTTTGGGCCCTTCTTTCGTCCTTCATCAGAGTAAGGATTTTTATTTTATTTATTTATTTAATTTATTTATTTATTTATTTATTTATTTATTTGCAGTACCAGGTTCCTTCTCATTTCTTCAGCATACCTGTAATATTAGTGTTTGTTGAAAGATTGCAGCTCATCACTCTCTTCAGGTATAGCTACCTGGACTGATATAAAAATGAATTGCTAGGAATAGTAGATCCAATAAGTGATGTCTACAA